TGGTCTTACAGAGAAGAGATTCTGTCAAACAAGCCTGGCATTGTTTGGGATGAGAATACAAGTCTGGGTGACAAGGGCAACTATGTGCCCATAACAAAGGGAAGACTGGACCCTTCACGGTGCCGCATGTTGTGACGACGTGGGTTTTTTTTTTGTTTTCTGTGAACTTGGGGCCCCAGCCAATGGTCTGGAAGATGGATACCCCAGCGATCGGTGACTTGGCGACCTGGTGACCCAGAGACGCAGCCGGTTCTGGCCAGTGGGCGGACAATGGGCTGCAGAGTGAGGACCCAGTGACCTAACCAGCCCGTTCCAGCCAGAGGACAGAAGAGGGGAGAGGAGGCCCCAGTTTACGACCCTGTTTACCTGGAGAGAAGACAATGGACAGAGGCAGGGCTTGGGGCCGGGGATCTCAGAGGCCCAGCTGGGAGCAGGGGGGCTCTGGGCTGGAGAGGGGGAGCAGGCAGAGCCCACCTGGAGGCAGAGAGACTGGGGTGTGCTGGGCTGAGGGAGGCCAGGCCTGAGGCCCTGAGAGTTTCCTGTGCTGTGTTCAACTCTCAATAAACCCTCCTGTTTCATGCTGGCTGAGTGTCACTCCGGTCTAGAGAACAGGGGGCATCAACCCCTTCGGGGGTGGAGGCCCGGGGGGTCCAGAGCGAGTGGACTCCCTGAGGAGGCCCATGGCGACTAACAGGCGTGCTAAGGCTCAGTGAGGTGCGGCTCCAGGAGGTGGAGGGGCCTGACCCCGAGAGAGAGTGGACCCCCGAGAAGGGCTGTCTCACTAACAGGGGCATCCCCCACGGACCGCACGGGGCCAAGCGTGGGCACGATCTGTGAGTCCGTGACACATGCACTGAAGGAGTAGACGGCCATCTTACCGTACTTGGCTGCTTTTGCTGCTGCTGCCGCGGCTGCCGCCGCTGGGCTTCCAGCTCCTGGGATAAAGGAAGGAGAGGAAATCTCAGAAACCTGACAATACACAGACAAAGAACACAGCAGGCACATCGGTTGGCAGAGCCCGGTAAGCACATTCACTTGCCACCCCTGCAGCTCCTGGGATGTCCCTGATTCCGGGCACCAAACCAGGAACTCCACTGACACCAGGCCTGGAGCACCACCACACCCTGGCAGGGCTCCAGCACCTGCAGAGAGCAACAGGAGTGAGACACAGCACGAGATAGGAGCACAGGGAGGAGAACCAGTCCTCCGAGGGGAGAGGAGGGAAGTCCAGGAAAACGGAGCCCATGCGCCCTGCCCTGTCCTGGGCAGACGTGAAGAGCAGACTGGCCTCTCGCTCCAGGAACATCCTGCTTCACCAGTGCAGCTGGAGCCCAGCTTCGATTGGCAGCTTTTTTTGGAGTGAGATGGAAGCCCCACTTTCAGGGTGCCCCCTCCCAGGCCTCCGCCCAGGAACTGGTTCTGGAGCACCATCACCACCACAAAGGGATGATGGAGCAAGAGGGGAGTTTTGCCTCCATCCAAATCCACCCTGGGCACCCACGACTGAAAAGGGCTGACTAAACGGGGTGCACTTTGCAGGAGAAAGCTGGGAGCAGATGTCCAAGCTCAAGCCTTCCCGCTGCTCCCAGTGCAGAGCCCGGCCTGCCAGTCCTCTGGCTGACAGACTGAGGCCTGGTCTACACTACAAGTTTAGGTCGACTTTGACAGCGTTAAATCGAATTAAGCCTGGACACGTCCACACGACGAAGCCCTTTTTTTCGACTTAAAGGGCCCTTTAAACCGGTTTCTTTACTCCACCTCCGACGAGGGGATTAGCGCGAAAATCAGCCTTTGCGGGTCGGATTTGGGGTAGTGTGGACGGAATTCGACGTTATTGGCCTCCGGGAGCTATCCCACAGTGCTTCATTGTGACCACTCTGGACAGCACTCTCAACTCAGATGCACTGACCAGGTAGACAGGAAAAGCCCCGCAAACTTTTGAATTTCATTTCCTGTTTGCCCAGCGTGGAGAGCACAGGTGACCACGCAGAGCTCACCAGCACAGGTAACCCTGATGGAGTCCCAGGATCGCAAAAGAGCTCCAGCATGGACAGAACGGGAGGTACGGGATCTGCTCGCCATATGGGGAGACGAATCAGTGCTAGCTGAACTCCGTAGCAGTAAATGAAGTGGCAAAATATTAGAAAAGGTCTCAAAGGCCATGAAGGACAGAGGCCATAACAGGGACGCACAGCAGTGCCGCGTGAAAATTAAGGAGCTAAGGCAAGCCTACCACAAAGTCAGAGAGGCAAACGGAAGGTCCGGGGCAGAGCCGCAAACATGCCGCTTCTACGCGGAGCTGCATGCCATGCTAGGGGGTGCAGCCACCACTACCCCCACCGTGTGCTTTGACTTCATCAATGGAGAAACACGCAACAGGGAAGCGGGTTCGGGGTACGAGGAAGATGATGATGAAGACAATGAAGAGAGCTCACAGCAAGGAAGCGGAGAAACCGGTTTCCCCAACAGCCAGGATATGTTTATCACCCTGGACCTGGAACCAGTAACCCCCGAACTCACCCAAGGCGTGCTCCCAGACCCTGAGGGCACACAAGGGACCTCTGGTGAGTGTACCTTTGTAAATATTACACATGGTTTAAAAGCAAACGTGTTTAATGATTAATTATTAATTTGCCCTGGCAATCGCGGCCAGTACAGCTACTGGAAAAATCTGTTAACGTGTATGGGGATGGAGCGGAAATCCTCCAGGGACATCTCCAGAAAGCTCTCCTTCATGTACTCCCAAAGCCTTTGCAAAAGGTTTCTGGGGAGGGCTGCCTTATCCCGTCCGCCATGGTAGGACACTTTACCACGCCAGGCGAGTAGCACGTAGCCTGGAATCATTGCATAACAAAGCATGGCAGCGTATGGTCCCGGTGTTTGCTGGCATGCAGACAACATCCATTCCTTATCTCTCATTGTTATCCTCAGGAGAGTGATATCATTCACGGTCACCTGGTTGAAATGGGGTGATTTTATTAAAGGGACATTCAGAGGTTCCCGTTCCTGCTCGGCTGAACAGAAATGTTCCCCGCTGTTAGTCACGCGGTGGGGGGGAGGGGTGAAGTGATCATCCCCGATAATTGGGTGTGTGTGTGTGGGGGGGGGGGTAGTTGGATTTGTGCTGCATGTTAACCTGGAAACCCCAGCCCCTCCTTTTACATTGCAAACCCATTTTAAATGGCCAACTCAATGGGTCCTTGGTATGGGAAATGAGGGCGCTGCTGTTTGAAACCATTCCCATATGTTATGAAGGTTAAAAAAGCCAAAAGACTGTGGCTTACCATGGCTGCCTGCAAGCCGAATTCTGTTGCCTGGCACTGCGTGAGTGATCTCTCACACCAAACCGGCAGGCCCTCAATATAAGAGGAAAAATGCGACCTTGTAACGAAAGCACATGTGCTGTGTAATGTGAACAGCAAAATTTAACGTGAAAGAGTGTACCCATTGTTCTCTAAAATGTGTCTTTTTTAACTACCTCTCCCTTCTCCTCCACCAGCTGCAAATGTTTCTCCTTCGCAGAGGCTAGCGAAGATTAGAAGGAGAAAACGGCAGACTCGGGATGATATGTTCATGGAGCTCCATATGTCCTCCCACACTGAAAGAGCACAGCAGAATGCGTGGAGGAAGTCAATGTCAGAGTGCAAAAAAGCACAATATGAACGAGAGGAGAGGTGGCAGGATGAATCGCGGGCTGAACAGAGCAAGTGGCGGGCTGAAGATGATAGGTGGCGTCAGCTTGCAGACAGAAGGCAAGAGTCGATGCTCCGGCTGCTGGAGCATCAAACTGATATGCTCCAGCGTATGGTTGAGCTGCAGGAAAGGCAGCAGGAGCAGAGACCGCCGCTACAGCCCCTGTGTAACCAACAGCCCTCCTCCCCAAGACCCATTGCCTCCTCACCCAGATGCCCAAGAACACGGTGGGGGGGGCCTCCGGCCACCCAGTCACTCCACCCCAGATGATTGCCCGAGCATCAGAAGGCTGGCCTTCAATAAGTGTTAAAGTTTTAAAGTTTTAAACTGCAGTGTGTCCTTTTCCTTCCCTCCTCCCCAACCCAGCCCAGGCTACCTTGGCAATTATCCCCCTAGTTGTGTGAGGAATTAATAAAGAATGCATGAATGAGAAGTAACAATGACTTTATTGCCTCTGCAAGCGGTGCGCTAAGGGGGGAGGGGAGGGTGGGGTGGTTGGTTTACAGGGAAGTAGAGTGAACCGGGGGTGGGGACGGAGGGTTCATCAAGGAGAAACAAACAGAAGTTTCACACCGTAGCCTGGCCAGTCACAAAACTGGTTTTCAAAGCTTCTCTGATGCGCACCATGCCCTGCTGTACTCTTCTAACCGCCCTGGTGTCTGGCTGCGCATAATCAGCGGCCAGGCGATTTGCCTCAACCTCCCACCCCGCCATAAATGTCTCCCCCTTACTCTCAGAGATATTGTGGAGCGCACAGCAAGCAGCAATAACAATGGGGATATTGGTTTCGCTGAGGTCTATCCGAGTCAGTAAGCTGCGCCAGCGCGCTTTTAAACGTCCAAATGCACATTCCACCACCATTCGGCACTTGCTCAGCCTATAGTTGAACAGGTCCTGACTACTGTCCAGGCTGCCTGTGTACGGCTTCATGAGCCATGGCATTAAGGGGTAGGCTGGGTCCCCAAGGATAACGATAGGCATTTCAACATCCCCAATGGTTATTTTCTGGTCTGGGAAGAAAGTCCCTTCCTCCAGCTTTCGAAACAGACCAGATTGCCTGAAGACGCGAGCATCATGTACCTTTCCCGGCCATCCCACGTTGATGTTGGTGAAACGTCCCTTGTGATCCACCAGGGCTTGCAGCAGCATTGAAAAGTAGCCCTTGCGGTTTATGTACTCGGTGGCTTGGTGCTCCGGTGACAAGATAGGGATATGGGTTCCGTCTATCGCCCCACCACAGTTTGGGAATCCCATTGCAGCAAAGCCATCCACTATGACCTGCACGTTTCCCAGAGTCATTATCCTTAATATCACCAGGTCTTTGATTGCCCTGGCAACTTGGATCACAGCAGCCCCCACAGTAGATTTGCCCACTCCAAATTGATTCCCGACTGACCAGTAGCTGTCTGGCGTTGCAAGCTTCCACAGGGCAATCGCCACTCACTTCTCAACTGTGAGGGCTGCTCTCATCCTGGTATTCTGGCGCTTCAGGGCAGGGAAAGCAAGTCACAAAGTTCCATGAAAGTGCCCTTACGCATGCGAAAGTTTCGCAGCCACTGGGAATCGTCCCACACCTGCAACACGATGCGGTCCCACCAGTCTGTGCTTGTTTCCTGGGCCCAGAATCGGCGTTCCACACCATGAACCTGCCCCAGTAACACCATGATTTGCACATTGCTGGGGCCTGTACTTTGTGAGAGGTCTATGTCCACGTCAATTTCCTCATCACTCTCGTCGCCGCACTGCAATCGCCTCCTCGGCTGGTCCTGGTTTTGCTTTGGCATGTCCTGGCTCTGCATATACTCCAGGACAATGCGCGTGGTGTTCATAGTGCTCATAATTGCCGCGGTGATCTGAGCGGGCTCCATGATCCCAGTGCTATGGCGCGAAACTGATGGAGGGAGGGAGGGGCGACTGACGACATGGCGTACAGGTACAGGGAATTAAAATCAACAAAGGTGGCTGTGCATCAGGGAGAAACACAAACAACTGTCACACAGAATGGCCCCCCCAAAGATTGAACTCAAAACCCTGGGTTTAGCAGGCCGTTGATTTCACGGAGGGAGGGGGAAGCAAATGAATACAGAACAAATCTGGTCCATCTACTTTTTACATCTTAAGCTGGCAGCAGACAGTGCAGCATGACTGATAGCCATCGGCATCTTCTGGGTGCTTGGCAGAAAATGATGTATTACGATTGATAGCCATCATCGTCAAGAATCAGATGCCCAAAGTGGAAAGTTTGGTGCAGTATTTCTTAGAGGAATCTGCTGAAGAACTTTCCCGGGTGCCTCTGATTGAACTCACTGAGGAGTACGACGACGACGAATACCAATCGTAATACACCATCCACTGCCAAAAGGCAAGGAGCTGCTGCTGTGTAGCAATGCAGCCCCACGTCTGCCAGCACCCAGATAGCCGATGACGGCTACCAGTCATACTGCACCGTCTACTGCCAAAAGGCAATTAGCTGCTGCTGTGTAGCAATGCAGTACCACGTCTGCTGGCACCCAGATGACAGTGAGCTGAGCTGAGCTGAGCGGGCTCCATGCTTGCCGTGGTATGTTGTCTGCACAGGTAACCCAGGTAAAAAGGCGCGAATCTATTGTCTGCCGTTGCTCTGACGGCGGGGGAGGGGCCTGACGACATATACCCAGAACCCCACGCGACACTGTTTTTGCATCATCAGGCATTGGGATCTCAACCCAGAATTCCAATGGGCGGCGGAGACTGCGGGAACTGTGGGATAGCTACTCGCAGTGCAACGCTCCGGAAGTCGACGCTAGCCTTGGTACTGTGGACGCGGTCCGCCGACTTAATGCACTTAGAGCATTTTATGTGGGGACACACACAATTCGACTGTATAAAACCGATATCTATAAAACCGGCTTCTATAAATTTGACCTAATTTCGTAGTGTAGACATACCCTGAGAATCAATGGAGCTGGTTGGGTAGTGAGGAGCAGAGGCCCTTTGTGCACACACTAGTGCACTGCACTGATGCCATGGCTTGCGGGTGCTCCGTGTGAAGGACCCTACTGAACCCAGACACAACCGGCGCCCAGCATCGCTGCAGAAATGAATCTGACGTGTATACCTCCACTGAAACCAGGGGCTGCCTCTTAGCTGAGTGTTGGAGGGGAAACAGAGCTGTGTTGCACGCACATTCACCATTGCTTGCACACTCACACATGACACTGTCTGGGAGCGGGGCTTTTGAAAGCAAAGATTGCACACACACCCCAACTTCCAAGAGAATGCAGCTGCTGTCGTGGAGCTGAGAGCTCCTGGGGAAACACACAGCTAGCAGAACAGAACCCGCCCCATCAATGCTCCGCTAGTGCAGATCTGCTTGGAGCGACACTAGTGTGAATGCACAGACCTCCCCAGTGACCCCAGAGAGCGTCTCCCGCTGACATAGCTACCGCCGCTCACAGGGGCTCGAGCCATTAAGGCGATGTGAGCGCTTTCCCATCTACACTAGCAGCCCTACAGTGGCACGGCTGCACTGGTGTAAGCTGTCTAGTGTAGCCATAGCCTGGGTTCCCATGAGCTCAGCTGTGCAGGTCTCAGAGGGAGCCATAAAGCCCTTCTGAAAGGAAGAAAACAGCTGTGAAACATCATGGCTTTAAAGTCTGATATCGGAGGCCCTTCTAGTGCAGGAAACAAGTGCAGAATATCCCATCAGGCCACTGAAATCCCCCTTTGCAGGCAGGGGATAACGTTCCCACTCTCGCCCTGCAGGGCTGGGTAACCCGGCTTTAAATCAGGACAGAGAAGAGCTGTCCCTGGGGCAGGGCTGAGTCCTGCCTACCCTGGACCGTGGCATCCTTTGTCCTCTGAAACTGCTCCAGGTGGGTCCGTCCCGGGGAGATGGATTGTGGGCTCAGGACAGGTGAAAAGGTCAAAAGTGCACCATAAATCTGTTTATCTCACGGCTCAGCTGTTTGCCCTATGGTGCTAATTCATCACAGAGACTCTGTGCCAGGCATGCCACAAGAGAGACCCAGCACCTCCCAGACAGCGACTGCCCAAGTCAGCCCTTAGGAGCTGCTCGTCACAGTGGGCCTGCTGGGAACAATCAGAGCCCACTCACCATACGCTACTGCTTTTGCTGCTGCTACTGCTGCTGCCTGGCTTCCAGCTCCTGGGTCACAAGGGAAGAGAGTCACGGCTCTGAGATGGGGAACGCAGCCCCACAGGCCCATCGGCTGGGCTAGTCAAGCACATTTACCTGCAACCCCTGGGACACCTGCAACTCCAGGGAGACCCCCAACTCCGGGCACCAGGCCTCCGAGACCTCCGACTCCGGGGATGCCAGCAGCACCAGGCACGACGCCAGCACCTGCAGAGAGCACAGAAGCCAGACGATCATTGGCACTCTGGTGCAGAGAGTGCAGAACGGCCCAAACCCCGGGAGAATCAGTAGTCAGGTTACAAAGTCAGGGCCCACTCCGGAGTGAACGGAGCAGTAAGCTCCCCGCAGCGTCCCGGAGGGGCCCCGCTCACCAGGCATCCCTGCCGGTGCCCCTGTCGGCACAGTGAGGCCGGGCCTCCCAGCCCCCAGCTAGGCAGGGCTCGCAGGGAACATTGTTCTCTCTGGCTTCGCTGTGTCGCCCCATGCACCAGTCGTTACGTCATTCGTGGTGCACTGGGCCGCACACACTCTCCCAGCCGGACGCGAGGCCTGGCCTGGCAGTGCAGGGCTGGTGGAGCATGCCCAGACTGAGGTGCTGGCTGCTCTGCTGGGCCCATTAGTCCCTGTTGCCCTGTATCGTTGCTGATTCTAACACCACAATGGCGTGCTGCTGCCCGAGAGGCCTGGGACAGAGCAGCCCACATGCCCCCCGCCGGCCAGAGCGGTGCAGGATGTGTGAGCACACACATGATGCCCACCCCCTCCAGGGGTGGCAGGGGAAGTCGCTCCCATGCTCTGCTCCTGGGAGTCCCCCAATGGGACACCAGCGCCTGGCCTTCAGGGGATCCCTCTCCTGGGTCTCCATCTTGGTTCACTGGTCCCCCAGTGGGACCTTAACCCTGCCCTGGGGCACCCCCAGCTCCACATCCCTAGGCTTTCCCCACTGCCCCACGCTCTGAGCTGCAGGCCCCACCTGGTCTGCAGTGCCATGGCTCACAACAATGGCTCTGCCAGGCTGTACTGGGCGGTGCAGGGACAGTCTGAGGGGCTCACCCCAGAGCTGTGGTTGGCAGGTCAGTGTGGGGGTCTCAGGCTTTTGTCTCGATGCCCCATCGCTTCCTGCCTCCTGCTCACGTGCGCTCTAGCCCACAATGGCACCCCAGGGCTGGGGTTTGCAGCAGCCGTGGCTCCTTCGCAGGCTGAATGGGAACAGGGGTCCCTGGTGCTGCTGCCCAGGGATGGAGCCGGGGTCTGCAAGGGGCAGGTTTATCCATCCGTCTCCATCCTGCCTTCCCGAGGGAGCCCGTTACCCGCCTGGCTTCTGCCAAACACACCACTTTCGTGGTGCGGGCCCTGCAGTGCCACTCTCTAGCATCTTGGCCCATGCCCATCACCATGGCATCTAGGCTCAGGCAACTCACCATATTTAGCTGCTGCTTTAGCTGCTGCTACCTGAGCTCCAACTCCTGGAGACACAAACATGGAGACGTTCAGGGATCTGGACTTCATCACATGCCAGCAGAACAGCTGCCCCCAGGCCCCCTCGGCCACCCCCCACCCCTCTTGGGTCGCTGTCACGGAGTGTGGGGGGACACAAGGCCCTGCACCCCCGGCTTCCTGCGATTCACCATGACTCTCAGCCAGCCAGTAAAGCAGAAGGTTTATTTAGACAACAGGAACACCGTCCAAGACAGGTCTTGCAGGCACAGACAACAGGATCCCCCCCAATTAGGTGCATCTTGGGGTCCCAGGGCACCACAGCCCCTTCGGGGGGTCAGAGCCCCGTCTCCCTCCCAGCCATTCCACCAGCCAGCTCTGAAAACTCCCCCTCCAGCGACCCCTCCCACAGCCTTTGTTCAGTTTCCCGGGCAAAGGTGTCACCTGGCCTCTAACCCCTTCCTGGGTTCTCATGTTACATGCTCAGGTATCTTCCCTCAAGGCCAGTCTCCCATCCCTCAATGCAGACCGTCCTAGCCACACTCCCCTGCCTTCCCAGCCAACACTCCCCACTCAGCATTCAAAGACCACATTACAAACAGTCCCAGTTCGTCACACTCGCCCTGTGATGCGAGGGGAACTCGCCCTTGGTGTCTGTGCAGGCGCCGGCCCTGCAGCAACCTGGCCTCTCCCCCATGAAGAGGCTCAGAGTCAACCACTGCCCAGACACCTGGCCCCAGGGCGGTTCTTCTCCACACCAAGAGGAATTCCACCGCCACGCACCTCCCCCGCCCCTGGAGCCAGCCCCATGCACCCTCCCCCCAGAGTCAGCTCTTCTCCCCTGCCCCAGCCATTTCCTCTCCTCTAGAGTTAGCCCCCCACTTCCCCAGAGCCAGCCCCATGCCCGTCCCCACAGAGCGGCCGCAGTCTGAGCAGACTGGGAGGAAGGCTGGCTGGCCAGTGGCAGGGCCTGGCTCAAGGCCCCATTCCTGTGCCAAGGAGCGTGGGAGGCTCTAGGCAGCTGCCCCCTCGGCTCGGAGAACTGCTCCCTGGGAAGAGGCCAAGCAGCGCACCTGTCCCCGTGGGGTATCCTGCCTTTCCCGCAGCACCAGCACCTAGCCCGCCTGGTCCGTACCCTGCAAGCACAAAAAGCAGAGGACTCTGTTAGTCCCTCCCATCAACTCAGGTAGCTGTGACAGGAGCGGGCAGCCCAGAGGGCAGGGCCTGCCGCAGCCTGCTAGGGGGGAGCCAGATTTCCAGAGGTGCCAATCCAAACATCTCTGAGTGAGGCTGGCTGCGGTGTGAGGCGTGTCCTCAGCGCTCAGCTCTCCGAGCCGCCGGAGGGAGCGAGGCTGGGGCCTCAGCACATCTGGCTTACAGCCCTGCACTGCCGGGATGCCAGGAATCCAGGGAGATGGCTCCAGTTCGGGCCAGCCTCCAACTGGGAGATGTTCACAGTTGTCAGCATTCTTCCTCCCCGGCTAGTTGGGCCAGGGAGGCGGCTGCTCTGCGTGGGCCTCCAGGCCAGGAGACTTGCACTCAGGTCTCAGGTAACAAAGTACAGCGATAAACAAACCCTGCCCTCCTCGTGGAGCCCCTGGTCTGGCATTGCAGGCCCACAGCAGGGCAGAGAAAAGGCAGCTGTGAGCCATCTTCACCTTCCCCAATGCTGGGTCACCAGCGCTGCCCTGGTCCCAGCTGCTCACAGCCCCAGGGGTCACTCAGGCAGCCAGGAATCCCAGGGACACCCTTTTGCACAAGAGGATGGAAGCGGGTGCCTGAGGGTTAAAAGCTGCCTTGTGCTGGGAGAGCAGTGCTCAGCACCCCCGTCTCCAGGCTAGGAGCTTGTCAGCATGACAGTGAGCAGCCCCAGTGCTCTCTGCTTGGCGTGTCTGGCGCTGTGCGTCCTGAGACCCTCCCAAGGTGGGAGGCCAGGTCGTGTGGGCAGGCAGCTGGCACTCCAAAGGCAGAGCTTTTTCTGAGCTCGGGGCTCACACGGGATGTCTGAGCAGCCCCCGAACCGCCTGCAGCCTTGTGCAAACCTTTCTATGAGCTCGCCAGGCCTCTCTAGACACCAGCTGCTCGGGGATTTGGTACCAGCTCACAGCCTGGCTGGCCACAGGTCTCAGCTCCTAGGAGATACCTCCCATCAGTCATCCCAGATGGGTGTTGGCTCGGACCCCTCTGAGGTTTGGAACGGCTATGGACTCATCCAACGCTATCCAACGCTATGGACTCATCCCTCGTCTCTGCTGGGAAGCCGCGTTTAGGGTTAGAAGGGGGAAGTCACTGAACCCTTGTGACCAGAGGCCCTGACCTCATCCTGGGAGGGCTGAGAATGAAAGAGCACTCACCGTAAGGCAGCTTTCCAGTGCTGTAGGGCAGCCCATAGCCACCTAGCAAGAGAAAACACACGGAGACGGGAGTGAGTGCAGCAGCCGGTGCGTGTGAGCTCCATCCCACCTGCCCTGCAGGCCCTGGGGCACCGGGCCCCTGCCGCAGCCAGGCAAGACCAGCACACCAGCCAGGCCATTCCAAGCCCTGCTCTGCTCCACTTCAGAAGTGCCCCATTTGCCAGCACTCTGTGGAACATGAGCTGTCCAAGCTTAACTGCAAAGGAGACTGTCTCAGAGCCACCCCTTCCTGTGGCAAGCCCTTGCAGACTCCACTTCCTGCCAGCCGCTGGGCCAGGGTAGTGCCAGGCAGTGAGACCCCCGGCCCCACATTCCTGGTAGTGGCAGCAGAACCCTCCCAGCTGGTGAGGTTGCCATTTCTCTGATGCTCTGAGGAGCTTCTGCCCCAGGCCAAGGGCCGCACTGCCCACAGCTCACCTCCAAGCAGAGCATGTTTCAAAGCATGTCCCCCAGTGCAGGCTCAGCAAGGGGCCCTCTGAAGCCCTGCAGTGAGAGCTGCTCCCACCCGGCTCCGTGCTGGCCACGGCCAAATGAAAGGCTTCGGTGGAGTCAGTCTTTGGGAGCTCCTGCTGAGGTCAGCAAGGGGGCTGGGGCAGCGTGCGGAGAGGAACATTGCTGCTGGGGAGCAGGGGGAACGTGCTGCAGTGGAACAGTCTCCTAGAGAAGGGCTGGGAGCCCCATCGTGTGGGAAGTCTGGACAAACCACACGTCAATACGGAACTCCAGCCGCCTGACTGCAGGGAATGGGGCAGCCTGCTCCATCTCCAGAGTGAGCCAGGCAGGGCCTGGGGAGCCCAGTATCTGGGGCGGGGACCAGCCCCTCAGGCTCTGGCAGGAGCAGATCGAGAAGGAGGAAGATTTAGACTCAAAGGCTGAAGAGAGGCTGCTGATTTCAGGCATCTCCATTTTTGGTGCCCAGCCTGAGACAACTTGAGTTGAGCCCACGTTAGAAACTGTGGGCCTGATCGTCCCCACGGCACTTCCGGGGGGAGGGGGGAGGCTTCTCCCCTGGCACCAGAGCAGTCTCCAGCCAGAGGAGGCCGGGGGGTGCAGGGATCAAAGTGAGTCAGAGCTTTATTGCTCATGTCTCTGCGGGTGGTGAGTGCTCTCGCCCCTCCTGCAAGCCAACATGTGGAGACCAGATTTCCCTGCGCCCATTCCAGGCGTTCCCACATCAACACGGCCCTGACAGAAAGCAGAGCTCTCTGGCCAGATGCTGCTATGTGAGCTCTGTGATGGGGAGGCTCCATTTCACAGGATTTTAGCAACCCGCCAGTCCCTAGGGCTAGTTGTCTCCACATGCCGCACGGTACCTTCGGAGCCTAGACATGCCTGCTGGTGGGCTCTTACTGGTGATAAGATAAGCAGGCTGGGCTGTGAAGCCATATTAGTGCCCTGATCTTTGCCTACCTGCGTGCGGCACAGACAGGGAAATTAAGGCACAGCACAGCCTGCTGAGAGACCACAGATTTAGCCTGGACTATAACCCAGCTCTCCCAAGCTCAGGCCTGCACGTGTGGGCCACGAGAGCTTTCTGATAATTGGCTCGGCAGTGGCGACAACGGGACTTTGTTTCCTCAGCAATCTAAACAGAAGCAAAAGGCATCGATGGCTGCATTACTAGTCGGCTGTGTGGTATAAACAGCCTGGGTGGTGCACAGCCTGACCTCACTTGGAGCACGCCCACCGGGCCCTGGTTGTGGGATTCCAGTCCATTATCCCCACGGGCTGCAAGTAGGGATGCTGGCTGAGTACTGGGCTAGCCAAACTCAGCCAGCGGCCCAAGGAGCATGAGTCTATGAGCCTCAGACCACATGGCCTTGGCCAGCGCCCAGTGTGCACCAGATCAGAGCTGCTGCTCACAGAGAACACGTATGTAACTCAAAATGCAACTCTGGGCCGGCCACCACTGACCGCAGCCTGCGAAGGAACGGGATTTTCTCAACCATGCAGGGCAAAAGTCATCTCTGTGTGCCAGGCTGCAGGGAGCCTTCTCCTTGCAAAATGGCCGCCGGCCACTGACTCCAGTGAGGCCAGGGGTTCACCCACAGGTTCAGAGATGTGAAGGCTAGAGGGAGCACTGTGATCATCTAGGCCAGTAGTTTTCAAACTTTTAAACTGGCGACCCAGTTGAAGAAAATTGTTGATGCCTGCGACCCAACAGAGCTGGGGATGAGGGGTTTGGGGTGTGGGAGGGGCTCAGGGCTGGGGCAGAGGGTTGGGATGCGGGGGTGAGGGCTGTGGGGTGGAGCCAGGAATGAGGAGTTCAGGGTGTAGGAGGGGGCTCTGGGCTGGTGCAGGGGGTTGGGGTGTGGGAGGGGATCAGGGCTCTGGGATGAGGGTGCGGGCTCTGGGATGGGGCCGGGGATGAGGGGTTTGGGGTGCAGGAGGGGGCTCTGGGTTTCTGGGGACTCAGGGCTGGGGCAGGGGATTGGAGCGCAGGGTTGGGGCGTGGGCTTACCTCGGGTGGCGGTGCAGCGGGGGTGCAGAGGCAGGCTTCTTGCCTGTCCTGGCACCGCGGACCGCGCTGTGCCCCGGAAGTGGCCAGCAGCAGGTCTGGCTCTAGGCGGAAGGGCGCAAGCGGCTCCGCGTGGCTCTCGCCTGCAGGCACCGCCCCCCTGCTCCTACTGGCCGGGAACAGCCAATGGGAATGCGGAGCAGGTGCTCGCGGCGGAGGCAGCGCGTAGAGCCCGTTCCCTCCCTGCCTAGGAGCCAGACCTGCTGCTGGCCGCTTCTGGGGCGCAGCGCGGTGTCAGAACAGGTAGGGACCAGCCTACCTTAGCTGGGCAGCACCGCTGACGGGACTTTTAACAGCCCGGTCGGCAGTGCTGACCAGAGCTGCCACAACCCAGTGTCTGACATGGCACAACCCAGTTCTGGGTCGCGACCTGCAGTTTGAAAAACATTGATCTAGTCTGACCCCTGCATAGCATCGGCCAGAGACCTGCCCTGAATTAATTCCTGGTTGAACTAGAGCAGAGCTTTTAGAAAACCAGCCAGTCTTGATTTAAAACTGACTAGGGATGGAGAATCCACCATGACCCCTGGTAAGTTGTTCCAACGGGTAATTCCCCTCAGTGTTAACATTTTACATCGTATCTCCAGTCTGAATTTGTCTAGTTTCACCTTCCAGCCATTGGATCATGTTAGACCTCTCTCTGCTATCAGTAAGGGCTCGATCCTGTGAGGGGCCTAAACACTCCAACTCCCATTGTCTTTTTTGGTCCTTAGGGAACAGTCCTATAAATGGTATAGAGATGAAGCCTAGAGAGTTCTACAGAACCTTAATGGGGTGCTTCATACCTATGGAATGTAATAGGGAAGTGCTATTACTCCTCTGTATGGTGTGTCTTAAACAGCCTACAGAATCCCTGAGCAGGGGCAGAATTCCCTCCTCAACTGGGTGAGGCAGAGCAAAGCACTGGAGCTGGGTGGAATTTTTTTGTCTGAAAATGTTTCTCACCAAAAAATGGGATGAAGTTGAAAATGAACCACGGCTTTGGTGTAAAATGTTATTTTCAGGGATAGTTTTTGATTTTTCAGTGGAAAACTTAGAAACAATATGAAATGATTTTTTTTGTTTAATTTCTGTTTTCCAAAACCAAATACCCTGGGGATAATTTTTCCTAAGTTTCTCCCCGTTCCCCCATATTCTTTTCTCTTTTTTCATTTTTCTTTTCTCACTGTGTAACTTATTGAAATGTTGAGAAAATTACAGTGAAAAAAGGTGGGAGAGGGAAGAGAAAGAAGAAAGCGGAAAAAACATTTTATTGCACTCAGTGGCAAAAACAAAAATTCAAAATGTCAAAGAAATATGTTGTGAACAAAATTTTATTTTTTTCCCCAGTTTGAAACCCCATAAACAGGGAACAACTTCACAATTCAAAAATTTGCAAGAAATTGTTGATTGCTGCCTCTTGAAATAACCCACCGACAGGGCAAACAGATCCCTTACGGCCTGGGGTGTCCTACACCCCGCCGCTCAGGCAGCTGCCACCATCACCCAGCTTTGCACTTGGAAATTTTACCTCAACTCCCTTATTCCAAGGGCCCTGTCCTCTGGGCCGTACAGTAGGTGCTCTTCGAAGGCCACTGCGGGAAAACCCAGTCACCACAGCTCCACTGCAGACTTCTCAAACTCTGACTGTGATCATTACAAGTCAGCCCAGGAGTGAGCTAATTTAGAGTCCCTTCCTGTCAACTTCAGCCAGGTCACAGGCCAACCTGCCTCCAGCCGGGAAGCTCAACTCTCTCTCCCAAAGCTCCTCGCCTGGTGTTCCAACCCATACTCTCTGGTGGCTGCTCTTCAGTACTGCCTGGTCAGACAACCCATGGAAAGGGAGAGGGCTGCTATTCCCCCAAGAGACACAGGGCAGTCGCTGCTACAGAAAGGCGAGAGCTCCTTAGTCAAATAACTCACATGAAGGGTGAGCTCAGCCTACTCTAAGATTAAATGGCTGTTTGCTTCCTATTCTGGTCACCAATAAAAAGGCAATGTCTGCCTAGTGCAATAACTCACAGAAAGAGCCATCACTGCCTATGAAAATAATCCACACAAAGACCTGGCGCTGCCTAGTCAAATAACCCACCATAGAAAGGATGATCGCGGCCTATTCTAATAATCTCAAAGGGCCATTGCTTCCAGTGCTAATCAATAGAAAGGTAATGTCTTCCTAGAACGGCAACAAATTTCCCATAGAAAGGGTAAACAATGCCTAGTCAAATAACCAATAGAAAGGAGGATTTCTAGCTATGTAAATAACCCACAGAAAGGGCTATGGCTGTATGACGCAGTAGGGAGCTGGGTGGATTGACCTGGGAATGTCGTTTAGTTTTACTGGACTGTCTGCATGGGGGATGGGAGAGCAAGGGATGACTTTAGGTGAGGGACGGTACCTGAGCCTGTAACCTGAGCCAGGAAGGGGGGTGGGGTGAGTCGACACCTTTGCACTGAAAACTGGACAAAGGGGGAGGGGGAGAGA